GGAACCCAGAGTTTCAAACTACCACTGATCTATACCCTCAGTCCATAGCTACTGGCCTTTATGCCATTCTAAATTAATTGTGAGCCATCCCAGACTAAGAACTGTCTCCCTGCTCAAGATGTGGATCACATGCCATAACCCTGAAAACCCAGGGAGAGTACTAAAAGAGTCCTTGGTTGATTGGATGCTGTTAGGTAACAGGGTTCGCTATAAAATGAGCATCTATCTTGCAGTCTCTGATCTCTGTAATTCAGATTGTTTATGAGAGGATGTTCAGACCCCCATCACGTCACCCACTACCACAAGTTGCCACTTACCTAGGATACATTTAATCTGCCTAGGCCACGGAAGATCACAGGGTCTGATTTCTGACTCTACAGAAAAGCAGTGCCAGTTGAGGTTTGGCCTCAGTAACAGCTGTGTGATTAGTGGGACCACACCACAATGCAGGACAGGGCAAGTCACACCCTAGAAGAGCTAGGGCTTTGCCAAAACACCAAGCATTTGGAGCCCACCCACTTGACTTCAACCCTTCTTTCCTTTGCCATTTTACAAATGCTATCAGACGGTACCTTGCCATCCCTTAGTGCTGATGCTAACTGTTGCCTGGCTACCCCTAAGGCATGGCAGGACAGCTCCTAATATTTTACATCTGGCAAGATGAAACTAAGAGAAGGTCTGATTGGAAAGGGGTCAGATTAAGCCTCTGTGTGAAGGATGAGGTCAACATGTGAGGTTTTTTTGTTCTAATCAACAAGGCCTGTTTTGGAGACAAGAGGCTTACAACAGAAATAGATGGGGGTGGGAATGCACGGTGACCTACTGCGGGCTGCTTCCTTGAAGGAAAACCAGCAGTTTCTCTAGAGACCCATTTATACAAAGGAACTCTCCCCTCCCTTCCACCGCTACCTCTTCCCTTTCCCGCTCCTCTCAAATTTGGCTGCTGCAATATCCCTTCTGTGCCTTCTTCCCTGACTCCACCTAAAACAGAGTACCCTTGCTGCCCTGGAGATTGTTGGGACTCCATCCCTGTACCTCATTCCCTGGGCAAAGAGGAAATCATGCTGGGACCAGAGTGGAAGTTGGCCTGCCTCTGGCCTCTTTCCCATCTTATCAGGGAATTTCTGGCGGGCACAGACACATACACACAAAACCACACTCAGATACACATAGCCCAAGCCAGTGATGACGTTTCCCTGCCTGGCTGGTTCTACATATGGGTGTGACTAGGTCAGAGTACAGGGAGGGTCTAAATACTTAGATACTGGACTGCCAAACTCTGCTTGGAAACCAGGGATCGTCTCAAAACAGGCATTTTGAGGAAGAAAGTACCTCTGCCACCCAGACCTTGCCTGCTACTATCAGCAAAACTGTGTTGTGACTGCCGTCTGGTCTGGCACTCACAGGTAGGTCCGGGTGTTCTTTTGAGCATACATTCAGAGGACTTTGATATCACACTGTGTGACCACCATGAATCTAGACAAAAATGTGGCTGTCCAATATCATGTGCCTGCAGACAAAAACATGATCATTCTGGAAACCACAAAAATGACCAAATACCCCTAGCTTGGGTAATCTGAGTGACTATTGCTTCCTTACCAATCACAGCATTAGCCTTGCTCTAGTCTGCCCTCCAATTGGATAAAATTTATTTGATAAAATACCCAAGCCAATCATAGGATAACCCCTGCCTTCTGACAGCATCTAATCCAGAGCAAAACAGACTCCTATGGCCCTTCTCCAACCAACATCCTGTAAATCCTTCCTAACACCCTCTTCTGAGCCTCCCCATGGCTCCAAATGTGTGCCTTCTTTGCTGCAATAAGCAATAAACAACCTATTTCAGCACAAGGGTATTCTCGTGGTCTTTGGCTGGAGGACACTGACAGTTTGGAAGACAAAAAGCAAGCTCCTTGCAGGTCCATGATCAGGCAGAGATCCTAGGGATCTTATAGATCACCAGTGGATCCTCCAAGTTCTGCATTTCAGTTGGAAAAATCTCAAAGTAGCAACTCTAGTTAGGCCCTACAGGCAGATTCCCATCTAGAATGCATTGGAAGGGCAACCCAGAGATATTGTTTAGGGTAGCAGTTAATATGGGTGTTGAGTTTGGAAATGCATGCAATGTGTATTCATTTACATAACATTTGTTAAACCCTTTCTGACAAATAGTGGTAGCATGTCATGGAGAATTAAGTCTGGGAGAGGAATAATATACAGCCCCTGCTTTCAATGGCTTTATAATTTGGTGGCAGACTCAGACAAGCCAAAAGGGACCATTAGTGCCACACAAGGGCTGGGAATAAGATGCCTGAGTTCCAAATGGAACTTCATTGCCTCTCATGTTGCTTTATGGTCCTGCTTCTATCTATTCTAGGCTTTTCTACTACTGACTAAACCATTTCTAAAATTTCTTATTTACTTATTTATTTTGGTCTTTTTGAGACAGGGTCTTCCCTGTAGCCCCAACTGGCCTGGAATGCACTATGTAGACCAGGCTGGCCTTGAACTCAAGATTCACCTGCCTCTGCCTCCCAAGTGCTGGGATTAAAGGCGTGCACCACCATGCCTGGCTTATTATTTTTATTTTATGTGTATGTGTGTATTGCCTGCATGTGTATAAGTGCACCCATGTCATGCAATGCCTGCAGAAGTCAGAAGAGGGTGTAAGATCCCCAGAACTGGAATTATGAATGTTAGCCACCATGTGGGTGCTGGGAATCAAACCCAGGTTCTCCGCAAGAGCAGCCAGTGCTCTTAAGCTCTGAGCCATCTCTCCAGTCCCACCATTTTCTGACTGTATCTGCTCTGTCATCCCTATGAAGAAAACATGGAATGAACTATGCTTGATAGAAGATGGCACCTACAGTTCTGTTGCCCAGTGTGCTTGTACATTTCCCATTTTCTTCAGGCCTTTTACTCCCCCACTTTCCTCTTGGAACCTTCCTCTTGGCAATCTTCCTCTTGCCGCACACTGGTTTGCCTTCTAGCTGTGTTTCTTCCTCTGGTTCCAGTGGGTACTCACTGCCTGTATGGTTTCTGCTGAGGCAGTGGAGCACAGTGGAAAAGTACTCATGGGTTTGAGTCTGGGCTCTGCTACCTACTACCTGCATGGCCTTGGGCCACTACTTTCTTTTCTAGACATGAGCCTCCTCACCCATAACATGAAGGGAACAGGCTCGATCATCTTTCCACCTTTAGCCCTAAGATCCTAAGTATTAAAAAGTCTCTCGGTGTCGGGCATGGTGGCACACACCTTTAAACCCAGCATTCTGGAGACAGAGGGAGGCAGATCTCTGTGAGATCAAGGCCAGCCTGGTCTACATAGGGAGTTCCAGGCCACATCGGGCTACAGGGAGACTCTGTCTCAAACAAAACAAAACAAAAGTCTCTTGGTGCTTCATCTGTCCAAGGTCTCCATCTCCTGTCATTTCTAAGGTCTAGAGTAGAGAGACGCTAATGGAATCAGAAGGTCTCGGCGACTGTCTCCCCACCATGACACTGTTCCCCCTTTGGCTAAACTAGGCTTACAGGTTTGCGGCTGTTTGTGTTTTGTTTTGGAGACAGGGTATCACAGTAGCCCAGGCTGGCCTGGAACTCACTATTTAGACCAGACTGGCCTTGAGCTTGTGGTAGTCCTGCTGCCTCAGCATCCTGAGTGCTGGGATTATAGGCCTACATCACCAAACCCTGCTGGGTTTTATTTTATCCTATTTTCAGTTTATAGCTTATGATTCTATTTTCTTTTCTTTTCTTTTCTTTCTTCTTTCCCTTCCTTCCTTCCTTCCTTCTTTCTTTCTTTCTTTCTTTCTTTCTTTTCTTTTTTCTTTCCGTCTTTTTGAAACAGGGTATCTTTGCAGTCTCAGCTGGACTGGAACTCACTATGTAGACCAAGCTGGCCTCGATCTCCCGGAGAGATCTGCCTGCCTCTGCCTCCAGAGTGCTGGGATTAAAGGTGTGTACCACCACACCAGGCCTTTTTTTTAAACCTAGCAAGTTACATCTGAACCTAGGAGCCCTAGAAATTGCATCCTGCCTGATTTTCCCTCCATGGAGAACTTGGTAGCTTCAAAACTAGTCTCTATGAAATGTGACATCCTCCAGCCCTAAACTAACATTTAGCTTCAAATCCCAGAATGTCCCCAGGAAAGCTACGTGTATTCTTCTCAGCCATGACACTTGTACATGCATTCCTACCCAGCCATAATAGCTCCCAATCCCCAGCAAACACCTCATAGAGCTACTTGGTGGACAGCCACCATGACCCAGGGCAGTTCTCAATTCTATGTATAGAGGGTAGTTCAGAAAATCTCTCTCATGCCACATAAGCTCAAAGCCTTGCTTTTACACCACCCTCTTGCTGTTAGTCCATGGACATTTCCACACTGACCATGGCCTTGGCAACGCCAATCCCTGAAGTACAATGATAAGTGAGTCAGAAACCTTGCAAACTTTTGCACTGAGCTGTTAACCATACAGTCAAAAGGAAACTTCATACAGGGGTAGAATGGCTCTCTAGTCCCATGATTTGCTGGGTAAGAAAGCATGCTTAAGGATCATGCCCTTCAAGAAGGAAAAGGCATGTTTATGTGTTTCAAAGACAGCAGAGGTCCACCTTGAAGTTGCCCCTGATGCCCTCAGCTACTCTGTTGAAAGAATATTTCAAGCAACAGGTGTACAATCCTGGATTTCACTCCAGTGATCAGACAAGCCAATCTTCTTGTCTTTCCACTATCCTCATATAGCCATAGAAGAGGATGAGGTGAAAACCACCTCAAAGTCACCCCACCGGAATCGGAGCCTGTCCAGTACTAAATTCCAGGAGGAAGGGCCATAATGACTTGTCAGGCAGTCGTCTTGACTTAACGAATGGGTCAATACAGCTCAAAAGTCAGAGCACTCCAAACTGGTCCCCTTGGTATCACAAGCCTTTCGAGGCCCTGGACTCCGCCCACCCCGCATCCCCCCTCCCCTGCAAGCCCTGTTCACTGGAACAGAAAGTTTCAAAGAGACCTCAGCTTCCCTGTGAATTTCCCAGCTAATCCTGAGACCCTGAAAAGGGAAGAGTTCCCTAGCAGTCTCCCTCTTCAGCAGACCCTTCTCGTTTAGGAAATTGGAAAAGGATATTTTAGTTGCTAACACACAGTTCCCTGCGGGGAATTCCCTCTACGTGCTAGAACTGTGCAGCGTGGCGGGGCTGGAGCAGAGCACCGAGGTCTCTACGTGGACTCGCTCGACTCTTCCCTCCCTACTGCCCCACTGTATCCTTCCCAGAGAGTAGTGCCGCCCTTGCTCGCCTGCAGGACTAAAGGAAGAGGGGCAGAGGCGGGAGCAGGAAAAAAGGAATCGAGGGGAAGTTTCTAGGGGTGTGCCGGGCAGGGCGGAGGATTCCCGTGAGTCAGCGGATCGGGCCCAGCGTGACTTCACTGCTTCCCAAGAAGAGGCGCCCCGGGGCAGGAGACCGCTCAGAGGGCAGCAACAGGAGTGGAAAGGTTAGAGTCCCGGCTGCCAGGGCTCGGGGTTAGGGCTAGATTGGCCAGGCCACTTGGAACCGGGACGTTATAGAGAGGCCATTCGCTGGCCAGGCAAGCTGGGAGTGGAGGAAGCAGAGAAACCGACCTCTCCTCCTCCTCTTCCTCCTCCTTTTCCCCCTCCTCCCGGGGTGGCCAGTTCCCGCCGCCACTGTGGCCAGAGTCGCTGCTCGCATTCCGCCTGTAGGTGGCGCTGCAGAGGCGCTCGGAGAGTAGTGGAGGCGAGTGGGCGCGCTTTGCGGCCGACTGGGCGATCTCGGGTTGGGGAGGCTCTGGAGGCTAGAAAGCGGGTGTCAAGGAAAGGCACGAGTGGCAGCTAGAGCCCCAGTTGTCCCTCGCGCTGGCCAGTCCATCTTGCTCCTTTCCACGTAGGAGGAGAGGCACCCGACCGTGCTCCTACCGCAGACGAAGAAAAGCGCGAGCTTTTTCTAGTCCCTAGGGCCGGCTCCGAGGCCTGCAGAGCACTCGGAAGAGAAGGAATTGCAATTTCAGAGCCTCTGCAATCGGGATGATGCTCTTGACCTGCGGGCAGTAGAATGGAAACTTTGAGTCGCGTCTCGGACGATCGGGGTGGGTTTCCCTGGACAGCTTGCTCGCTAGCCTGGCTCCCTTGAGACCAAGAATGTACCTCCAGCTACAGACTGTGGTCAGGACTGAGGCGCGGGCTGGTACCAGGGCTCGACCTAGATGAAGGGTCGAGGCTCAGCTGAGACTTGAATCTGGGGCAACGGTTAGGGGCTTGTCAATTCAGTCTTCTGCAGGTACATAAAACAAAAGCTGAGGCTCATCTGGGACTCGAACTTGGCAGCTTTGCTCTTTGTAGATATAGCTTTATCCTAATTCCTCAACTGCCCTGAGCTCTAAAAGTCATGATGGTGGTTGGACCTCCCGTGGTTCATGGTTCTGTAGTAACTGTTGAGTTAACAAATTGAGACTATCAAGGCCCCAAAATAACCTGTGGCTAGACACATTTGAGTTAAGAGGGAACAATCAGGGCTCCAACCTCATCCTTTCCAAAGGCCACAAAGAACCATTTCCTTGATACAACTTTACAGATGAAACATATGGGCAGAATAAGTTCTTTGCTGATCCAGAAAAATAAAAGAAGACCCTGACCTAGTATCCTGGGTGCCTCTTCTTCCCTGCTAGTCCTTCCAGCTTTCATGCTTTTGGGGTGTCCACAGTCATCTGAGAAAGTTATCTAAAGATTTTCCATAAAGAGGAAGAAAGAGGAAAAAATCCTAAAGGATCCTAAACATTCCCAGGTTTCACTGTGTGCCAGGAGAAATAGTCTGTCTCCTGCCCAGACCTCAGAGCCCCGGCTCTTTCCTAGGGTTGGTGCCCAGCTATTCCTGGAATTCCCTCCCCTCTACTAGTCCCCTACCCAAGGTGTCTCTCCCAGAACAGAACTATAGAAAAGGATAGAATGAGCAAAGTTTAATGCTCCCTGCTCCACGCCCCCCCCATTTTTGGCCTCCAGAATCAGCCCCCAGTCTGACGCCCAGTTCTCAGCCCTTGCCCTCTGATGCCATCATGTTGGCTTCTCCCAGAGCAGAGCCTGAGCTGGATTTTCCCTCCACCCTGGCTCTGGTCCCCACTAGGTGACCGGGAGAAGATCTGATACACTAATTTGTGTTAATGTGATAATGGGTGCTAATGGGTCATGTGCTAAACATGGGCCAAACTCTAGCCCAGCTCCTTTGCCTTAATATCAAGTTCAGGCTTCAGGGCCAGGAATCTGAGAATCTAGACTGATAATCTCCACTACTAGCTGGGGTGGGGGTAGGGTCCAGGGGAGTGGGAGGAACCCAAGGCCAGGGAAGATCCCAGGGTGCTGGCACTAGAGCTGTTGTCCTGGTTTCAGTTTCATCCTTGGCTGACACTTTCCTCTGCTGAGTGGAATTGCTTTGGTTTGCCTCCAGCCCCTCACTGCTACCCTGCTACCCCCACTTTGGGACTGCTAGCTTCCCTCCGTCAGCCCTCCAATTTGTAAGGAGATAATTTGGCAGTAATGAGAAAAAAATGTATACGTAGCCACCCTCAGATGCACAGGCTTACATACCACATTGGCTTGCAGACACCCGTATGCAAACACCCTGCACAAACACACATACACACACACACACACACACGCTCACACACCATAGGCCATGAGATCCACACAGATGTACACATAAGCAGGCAAGGTCCTAGCAGAGACCCATGCCACACACAGATCTCCAGGCACACTCCCTCTCACACACAAACCAGCAACAGCTGAGTTGGATAGCTTCCTCAAAAGAGAGCTGGAAAGTTTGTTTGCTGCCAGCGAAGGGGCCTAGACATTCCGTGAAATGACTCATAGTGCACCTTTATAGACATTAAATATTGCATTAAGCAACAACAGCCCTCAAACCCTGACGTGGGGAAACTGAGGAGTGGCTGCCTTCCCACTGGGCCACTGGTATGCTTCTGTCTAGCAACTGTCTCAGGCTTGTCCTCGATTTCCTGTGGGGTGGGGTAATCCTGAGAGAACAGAATCATTCGCCTACTGGTACAACCCTAAGTCTGGGCCTGACTCTCAGACAGATACACAGTGGGTTCTAATCAGCCCTGGGCCCCGACCTCTTTTCAATCCCCTGTCCTGGATATCTGGAGTTTGGGCCCCTGCCTCACAGCAATCAGTCTGCTGTTCCTGTCCAGGTTCTCACCCAAGCTTGGCTAGGTCTGTCCTTACTGCTGCCTGGTCTCACAGCTCTGGGAGCAGCATTGAGCTTGTACAGTATGTGCAGCCTCATATATGACTGGAACCTCCTCCTTTTCACTCTTTTCCATCACAGAAGCAAGCACCAACTTGGTGGCTAATGTGTCCATATCTCCCTAGAGCTCCTTTGGCAAAAAAAACAAAAAACAAAACCAATAAACCCACTTTTCCATGCGTCAGACCCAGGCCGCTCCAGTTTCTTTCAAAGGACACATGAAAAGTAAAATGATGGCACAGTGTGCACGGGTTCACAAATCTGAGTGCACACACATGCCCAAGCTACAGAGAGAGAGAGAGAGAGAGAGAGAGAGAGAGAGAGAGAGAGAATTATAATTTCTATAAAAAAAGATGACACAGGTGCTGGAGAGGTGACTTAATGGTTAAGAGCACTGGCCACTCTTGTAGAGGACCCAGGTTCCCAAGACCCACATAGTAGCTAAGAACTATCCCTAACTCTAGTTCCAGGGGATCTAACCCCTTCTTATGGCCTCCGTGGGCATTGCACGACACAGGTGCACTTACATACATGTAGGCCATACACTCATACACATAAAATAAAATAATATATAAAATATTGTTTAAAAATAACACAGGCAGGTGTTGTGCCACCAGCTGTTGAGGAGTGAGGGGTAAACTCTGGTTCTGCTGTTCAGTGACCCTGAACCCTTGGATGCTGCACCAACTCTGGTAGGCTCCCAGAGTGGTGCCAGTGTGTACTGGCCTCGGGAACATTTTTCAGGCTAAGCTCCATGATAGGGACTGGGGACCAGCAGGATTTGGGACCCCAGGGCACTCACCCGCTGTGCTGAGCTCTGCTTGAGGCCACTTCTTCCTTTTCTTTCAAGTGAATCACAGGTTCTCCTCCTCTCCCTCTTCCCACCTCCCAAATCTCCCTGCCACTATCCCGGAGGTACCATGCAAAGGGACTGGATCTGTTTCAAAAAAAAGCAGGGCTGCTCCTAGGTGCAAGTAGGGCAGGAACTGCGTGTCCTTGCAGCCACTGCTCTAAGGTGGACATGCTGAGTGCCAGCTCAAGGCCACCAGTAGCACCAGCTATCAGGCTGCCATCTCCTTTGAACAGCTTCTCCCAACCCACACAGAAATGAGGTACAGTGTTTGTAGGAGCTTTCAGGGTGCCAGGGACTATCAGGAGAGCATGCATAGAACTTTCTCCCTCTTTTACCTTTAAATTTTAAAATTTATTTATTTATTTACATGTGTGTGCATACACACATACCACAACACACATGGAGATCAGAGGACAATTTTGGGAGCAATTTCTCACCTTCCACCTTGCTTTTGGTTTTTGTTTTATTTTGTTTGAGATAGGGTCTCACTATGTATGTAGCCCTGGCTGGCCTTGAACTCAGAGATCTGTCTGCCTCTGCTTTCCGAGTTCTGGGATACAGGAGTGTGCCACCACACTCTGCCTTGTTTGGAGGCAGGATTTCACTTGTTTGTGTCACTGCAAAGCATACTCCACGCTAAGTGGCCACAAACCTTCCAGCAAATCTCCTGTCTCTGCCTCTCATCTTGCCATAGGAGTGCTGGGATTACAGATGTGTGCCACCCACATCTGGCCTTTTATGTGGGTTCTCAAGATTGAACTCAGATGGTCAGGCTTGTGTAGTAAGAGGATTTTTTTAACCTGCTGCACTGTCTTCCCAGCCTTCTTTTAAGTTTTGTTTTGATTTTGGTTTGGTCTAGTTTGCTTTTGGTTGTTTTGTATTTTGAGTCAGGGTCTCACTATGCAGCCCTGGCTGGCCTGGACCTCACTATGTAGAGCAGGCTGGCCTTGAGCTCATTTAGTTCTACCTGCCTCTGCCTCCTAAGTACTGGGATCAAAGGTGTGTACCACCAGACTTGACCTTCTTTTAAGTTATTTTTTTAAGACAAGGTATCACTCTGCAGCCAGGGATGTCCTCGAACTCATGGCAACCCTACAGTGTGCTGGGATTACAGGTAAGCCACAACACCTAGCTATAATTTTCCATTTTAAGAATGGAAAAGCTGAGTGGGGTGGGAGATCTAGTAGCTTTTAAAAAGCCCCAGTCAGGTATTCTTTCCAACCAAAGACAATGACTGGTCAGATGAAAATTCTGCTCTTAACTCCATTCTCTCATCTGCCTATCCATGTTTTAGCCGGGGCAGACCTCTCAACTCCCCAAATGAGCCAGGTCAGCAGAGACTTGTCATCTGGAAAGGCGAATTTTGGTGTCATATATCTCGGGGACCTTGATTTTGCAGCTACTCACCAAGCCTATTTTTTATTTTTTATTACATTTTTATTTATTTTGTGTGTGTGTGTGTGTGTGTGTGTGTGTGTGTGTGTGTGTGTGTATGTATGCTATGTGTATGGGTGTGAATGTGCCATAGTATGTGAATGGAGTCAGAGGAAGATTTGTGGGGGTTAGTTTTCCCCTTTCACCATGTGGGTGCAAATATCAAACTCAGGTCCTTGGGCTTGGTGGGAGGTGCCTTTACCTGGAATCCCCATAACTACAAACCTGTGGTTACTAAACACAACTGGAAAATGAGGGCTGGCTTTATGGAAGGCTTACAGGGACCTCTCAGCTTTGGAGTGGGAGGATTCCTTTGAAACTGTAACTTTTCTCCCTGCTCCTGAATATGTTTTCCTTCCTTCCAAAAGTCTGATTGATCAGCGACTTTTCCTGCATGTTTCTGTGGTGAAAAGTAAGGGCTACAGAAACTGTGGCACTGTGGTATTTTGTTCTGGCCACAGGTTTGAAGAGAATTTGTTGAGGCCAAGGGGTTAAGAGAAGTTGGGAAACAAGGAGTCATCTCATCTTTAAACAACCTGGGGTGATTTGCAGAAGAAAATGGGCTATCAAGTCCTGCTTGAGAGAGGTCTCAAAGAGAGCTGTCAAAGTGGAAAGGCAAAGTGAATGCACAAAAATAGGGACGGTCTTACACAGACTGAGAGCAGTAAGGAGCTTCCTTGGCTCCTGACAGGATCCAGGTGTTAAGGCTGAAAGCAGCCACTCAAGGCAAGCCAATCAAGAGACTGGAAGCAAGGACAGACTGGGAGGGCACTGCTGGATGGCGCTTCCTGGGCTTCAATAGGCAACACGAGAAGGGGAATTCCTGCCAAGTCAGGGAGTGAGCCATTGCCAGAGACAGTGGCTGTCCTCAGCAGGATGGTGATCTCAGTCTGGCTGGCCCCACCTTGTGTGGGCCTACCCAATGGGTTCAGAGAAGATGGTGAGCCAGGTGGGGAAGCGCTGGTAGACTGAACAGCAACACAGTGATGGAGAAAGGCAGCCAGAAAAATCATTCGGGTGGCTCACAACTTCCCCAAGGGGGTAACATTGCTCCAAGGTTTTCATCAAGGGGATGGAGGTGGAGTTTGATTTGACTTCACTCCCAGATCCTGGGGCTATGGTTAGTTCTGAGTATCTGGGGAAGGGGGAACTTATGGGATTCCCACAGGTTGTGGGCTGCAGTTCACCAGCAGGCAACAGAGCCAGTCACTATGAAGTCACCCACAGCACTGACCTCTTTCCCTGCCCTTTCCAAGAGGAAGAACTTACCTCACCCTCTGCCTTGAAGCTTCAACCTTGTTTGGAACCACATATACTTGCAGAAGGGATCCACCATTAGTCCTCAGCAGCTTCTGCCTTGACCCTGTTACATTCTTCTCCCAAGAGCTAGATTGAGAAAGCAAAATTAGAATAAGCATAGCTAATATTCATGGAGGGCTTACTAGGTATTAGGCACTGCAGTTGACTACTATGGCACCACAGCTTTGTGGGTGTGGCTCTTTTTTTCTTTTCTTTTTCCTTTCTTTCTTTCTTTCTTTTTTTTTTTTTTTTTTTTTTTGAGACAGGGTCTCACTGTGCAGACCCAACTGGACTGGAACTGGCTTTGTAAACCAGGCTGGCCTCAAACTCACTGAAATCTGCCTGCTTCTGCCTCCTGAGTTCTAGGACTAAAGGCGTGTGCCACCATGCCTGGTCCGTGGGCTGGCTCTTATCAGCCTCAGTTTTTAAATAAGGAAAGCAAAACTCCCAGAGTTTAAGTGACTTTCCCAAAGTCACCCAGCTGGTAAATAAGGCCTCTGGAAAATGAACCCAGATCTCTCTGATGTTAGAGACCAATAAACTTTTATTTTTGGTCTTTTTGAGACAGGGTCTCCCTGTAGCCCCAGCTGGCCTGGAACACACTATGTAGACCAGGCTGGCCTTGAACTCACAGAGATCCACCTGCCTCTGCCTCTCGAGTCCTGGGATTAAAGGTGTGCACCACCACGACCAGCTGAGACCAATAAACTTAAAAAAATTATTTTTTATTTTATGAGTGTTTTGCCTATATGTATGTAAGTGCACCATGTATATACAGTGCCCATGGAGCTCAGAAAAGGTCATTAGATCCCCTGGAACTAGAGTTACAGGAGGTTGGTAGTCTCCTTGTGGGTGCTGGGAACTGAACACAGGTCCTCTGGAAGAGCAGCCAGTGCTCTTGACCACCAAGTCAACTCTCCAGTCCAGTAAACATTTTTTTAAAGATTTATTTATTTTTATGTGTATATGTGAGTGTCTACATGTGTGTACACTGCAGGCAAAGGCCATAGGAGGGTGTTGGATCTTCTGGAATTGGAATTACTGGTGGTTGTGAGCCACTATGTGGGTGCTGGGACCCGAACCTGGGTTAAGAGCAAGTGCTCTTAACTGCTTGAGCCATCTCTCCAGCCCCAAGATCTGCAAACTCAGCAAAATGGGAATGTGTGTACATGTGCCCATTAATGCATTGTTATTATTGTTATTACCACCCATTTTGGAATGAGTACATTTTAAGGATGTCTGGGACTACCTGAAACTAGCGAGGAGAACCTCACAGGCAAGAGGACAGCAGAGAACTGTGTTTCTCCAGGATCTGGACTCTCCTGAAGAGAGTCTGCCCACCTGAAAAGAAAAAAGAAGTGGAAAATTGTTCTTGGTGCTTGTTTCAGGGATTTGGCTTTGGGGAACCAGCAGATCTCAGGAGGTACCACCCCAGTCCAGCCACTAAATCTTTTACTGTCAACCTGTTATCTATAGCCATTTTTGCTGCTGTCATCCACCACTGCTCCTGTCTCCCAGTCCTGTGTCAGGGATCATCTTTCCTATGGCTGATGAAGCAGGCAGAAGGAGATGGTTGAGCAGGTCCTTGAACTGCAGACCCTTTGGCCACCTTTCAGAGGGCCATCCCCTGGGGCCCCTTCAACTGCTTTCTGCTAAGGCCTGTCTAGCTGGTCCCCTGCTTCAGGCTGCATAGAGCTGTGACAGACAACTTCCAGTAGACTCCTTCTAAGAGCAGGTGGTGGGGGCTGGTATGGATGCTGAGGCAGGTCAGAAAGGGGCAAAGGGGGGACACAATGGGAGGTGTTGAAATGGGCACCTCAAGTACAACAGGTTAGCTTTAGACTAAAGAAGGGTGGGGCATGGCTCTCTTCCAGCACCCTAATTCTGGGTGTCTCCACACTTGCTGTGTCAGCCCCTTCTACCTCCTTCTCTTCCAGGCCTTCCCTGAAAGGAGCTCTAGATCTGACTTTTCTAGAAGTCCCTGGAACTCTCCTGTCATGCCAACCCTGGAAATATTTGGGCCAAGACTCCAGGAGGGTTTAATGTAATGTTCCCAAATTGCACCCTCCAGCCATCTTCTAGTAGTACCCACTGCTAGGCTTCCCGGTTGGGACAGAGCAGATGCTTGATAATGATGGAGTGCTGGGGGCCCAGGCCTGAGGCATCAAGTGAGTGGAGTGCACTGAAACCCCAGGATATCTCTGAGGGACGTTGTGTGGAGCTTTCTGTGAGAGTAAGCTCTCCCCCTCCCCTCCTGGGCTCGCCACTTGTGAGCCAAGTCGGGGGTGGGGGGGTTGCTGACCAGGGAAGAGAGTGCGTGCGACACGAGCCCAGGAGCTCTGTCTCCTCCTCCCGACCTAGGGGGACGAGCGAGGCACGGGGAGGAGAGGCCTCACGGGGCCCCTGGCAAGGCCTCCCCTGCTGTGCTGGCGACTGCGGTAGGGTTGGGGTGGAGGGGCGCTGCTTGGTCCTTCCCTCCCTCCTCCACCCCGCCCGCCAGACCGTGGTCCCTCCCGTCGGTCCCTCCCTCCAGCTCTTCCCTCCCGCCCGCCCTGCCTCCTCGGTGCCCGCCCCAGCCTCCGCCTGCGGGGACGTGTGTCTCCAGTGCGATTTCCCCTTTCGACCGCTCGCCTCAGCGCAGGTCTCCGGCTCGCGGCCCCTCGGCGGGCGCCTTGCCGCGTGTCCCTCGCCGCGGCCGGTCCCCCTGCGCGTCCCGTGGGCACCCACGCGCTCACCCCGCCCCCCGGACGCCAACATCTCACCTGGTATTTGCATCTCGCCCTCCAACTTGCCGTTGGCGGCTGCGCGACGTGTGGGAGAGCCCTGTGCCTCGCCCGCCCGCCCGGACCAGCCTGCCCCGGCGCCGAGGTGAGTCACGGGCGCGGGGCGGTGGGGCAGGCGGGCCCGGGGGACAGAGGGAGGGAAGGAGGGCGGGCGACGGCTGTCCCGGCGGCCGCGGGACGGACCGACCCGGCGCCGCGCTCAACTTCCACTTCTGCTTTCGGCGGCGCCCAGTTCTCGGCGCGACTTGCGGGCTTCCGAGGGGAGAAGGCGGCAGGCGGGGGTGGGGACCCGTTGTCTCGACTCCTGGAACCCGGAGGGGACCGTTGCGACCGAGCGGAGCCCGGCGACCGAACCCTGCAGGTACGTCGATGCGCTGCTCCTTCCAACTGGTGGACCTCGGAAAGTTTGCTTGAGAGTGGGATTAAAGGACGTCGGGCCAGGACGTAGGGTCAGGGCCCCCCCGGAAGGGTGGGACAGTTTGGGCTTGTATAGTGTCGCCCTTGCCTCACTCTACCGCGAGTACACTGAAGTAACCCGGGCTCCTGATGCCGGACTAGAAGTGGAACTGATTGACCGAACCCTGGCGGCCAGGCAGCTCTCTCGGCTCCCGGCATCCTGGGTTCCTTGGAAGGGCCAATGGTGATAGGGGCCCCCCAGATCTTAGCGCCCGAGGGCGTGGGCTTGAACCGACTCTGGCGAAGCAGTTAGGCTAGATTGAACTGGCTGCCCCTAGGGCTTCCAAGGCCAGGAGCTTTAGGGTCACATGCACGCGCGCGCGTACACACACACGGGCGCGCGCGAGCGCGCACGTAAACCTATGACTTAGAGAACTGAATTGCCAAAATAGAGACCTCTTGGCAGGGGCTGGAGTTTCCGTGTGAGCCAGCCGCCAAGCTTCCCGCTCCCGCGTTCCCGCTCTCCACGTTTCTCCCGCCTCTCAGCTTCCTCCCCGGCTACTATCAAGGGGACTCTGCAACAGCACAACTCTCAAGGTTCCCCAAAGCCAGCATCTTGCTTTGGCGGTTGGGGGACCGCTGAGTGGCAGACACTTTATGAATTCTTGTCCCCTCCACGGCACCCCAGAACTCTGCTTGCCCTTTCTAAGGACTGGGACATAGAGGTCCTGACCAGAGTTACCTCCTGACCCCTTGGCACCTCGGCTCAGCCCAGTTCTCTTGGGTGCCACCACACCCAGCTGAGGAGATCAGGGATTTGATGGTCCTTTGATTTCTGCCCCTCATCCCTCTGCCTGAGACAGAGGCCTGTCTGGTCCTGCAGCTTCTTCTGGTTAATGTTTGACAGTTCATTGTAGCTAATCATTTTAATTAGCTCTTTAAGTGGGGAGGAACAGTTAACCTTGGACTTCTCGATTTTGGCCTGGTGGGGCCTCAATGGGAGGAGTTCTGAGGAGGTAAGGGCGGAAGTGAGGTCACCACCCCTGGCCTGAGCCATCACTGCTGGCCCCAACAGCTGGTGGGCACACCCATTAGGGACTCAACCCCTGTGAGCTGACCCCTGGCCTAAATGCCAGGATGGAGGGAGGTACAAGGAATCTATCTTTCCCTTCAGGAAGACAGGGTACTTTGGCGCTGAAAATGCCCAGGAAACGTACGCCAAGCAAGAATGCAGTTGCAGGATTTCCCCAGTTATAAAGTGCTTCCTCGATCCAGTGCAGAAACCGGCTAGCTGTAGCTCTCTGTAGGTGTGTGAGGATTATCAGAGACAACCTGGAGCAGCTGTAAGAAGCGGCCTTGCATGTGGGTGTCTCTGAGTTGGGTTCAAAGCTTACCATCTCTTGTGTGGTGGGGGGAAACCATGAAGCAAGCTCCACCATCGCCCCTCGCACCCAGCCTCTGTGAGCTGAAGGAGTGGCTTGTTTGCAACTATGTCTGGCATTCCTCCCTCCACTGCACTGTTTGCTGGCTGGTTACTCAGGAACTGCTGCCCACCCCTGGACAACCTGGGGGCCCCAAATCCACCCTCCTTCACCTAGTGGCTATAGTGTACCCTGCCATATTATTGGAACCTAAAAATGACAGCCCTCTGGTCTGTCATGGGCCTGATTGATTATGTTTTCATAATGCTCCTAATGCTGCAAAATTTAGGGCTTTGGTCCCAGAGTGGCCCAGCCAGCTGCTTTCCTAGAGAACCCTCTGCTCCTGAGCTTGGCCTTGGGCTTCACACTGGCACCACCCATATTTTCTCATCTGCCCCCAGTCCCTAGAGCTAGTCTGTCTCTGTTGAAACCCCAACTTTGTCATTTACTAGTTCTGTGCCCCCAGTCAATTGTATGCCTCAGTTTCTTTACGTGGCAAGAGAAATTACCTCAGAAGTTTAGCGTGAGGAACAAATACATTAATATACATAAACTGCTTATTAGAGTGGTGTGGCACATGACATATAGGAACTGGCATTAGGATATTGTCTACTACAGTGACTAAAACTCAGATTCAACCCAGCAAACATTTGCTGCAAGCAGGGCCCCAGTGAAGTGGCAGTGAAGAAAATATGGTTGTGAAGAAGACACCATGTGCCTTCTGGGCTGTATTTGGGCTGGAATAGTGGCAGGGTAGAGGAGGTGTCCAAAGAGATTGGACGAGTTGTCTGTATGAATACCATAATTTAATGCCAAACTGAAATCCCTGGGCCAATGTGGGAAGCCAGGCACCCCAGACTGAAGGGTCTCCTTGCTTGGAGACCATGGCCAGGTTTGGGTGTGGATGCTGTCTGGCCCCCAAGCCTGTCTTAGGGTTTCAGTGAATGAGAGGGAAGGGAAGGTGGGCTCCTGCACAGATTGCAGGTGGCAAGCATTCAGGGTATGATTTAACCACTCTCAGGGCAGGATGGCATACTTGGGGCCCCTCCCAAACACCTCTAAAGCCCTCTGAAGTGGCAGCACTCACACATGGCTCATCCCCTCATGTCTCTGGGGGTCTCTGTGGAATTGAGAAGAGCCTTGGACAGCCATCTTTTCTTGGGCCTGGGCCTGACCTCAACCTGGCCTTGGTTATCACTCTTGGTTTTCTAAGCTGTGAAGAGGTATCTGGCTTCACTGTCAATTTATTCCCTCTGTGGTTCTCAGACTGAAAACTAGGTCTGCAGGGGAGAAAAGTAACTCATGCAAGATACCCAGAATCCCGTGGGTGCTCTCCTAGGGGTCGGGGGCTTTTCTCATCAACACCAACCTGGCCACAAATCTCTGGCTGCTGAGCCTTGTGCATCCTGTAATAGCAGCTGTGCTGCTAATGCCCTGAAGCTTGGGCCTCAGCTCTGGTTGCCAAGAAACTGCTGGTCGGAGTGCTTATGAGGGTTTTGACCTCATAGGGGCTGTTGAGTTTCAATTCAACAGATATTTATTAACACCTACTGTGTGCCCAACCTGTGCTATGTGCTGTGGGGTTGTTGAGGAAAGAAGGTGGTGGGGAAGAGATGACTAAGACACTGAAACAATCAGAGGCGAGGACAAGCAGCCAGGCCAAGGGCTGGTCAGGTGCTAATTGTGCTCCTCAGAGCAGAGGCCGGCACGGCCAGGGCTCTGAGGTCAACAGCAGCTAGAGGAGGGAGGGAAGGCTTTGTGAGGGATGCATGTGAGAGCTAGACCTTGAAAGGGGGTGGGGGCAGCGAGGGGGAGACATGGCTGGGCAGAAAAGGGAGAAAAGACGCCTTTCTCTATTCCCTGGCCACGGACTGACCTTCGGAGCCTGGATGATTGTTTGGTAAATGCATGTCACATAAAAGAGCAGGTCAGCGAGTGTGGGCGGCTTCGTGCAAACCTCGATCTCCACTTTAGGGCATACAAAGTGGTTGGCCTAGACAGTGAGCCCAGCCTGTATTGATAAGACACAAAGGGTGGCCAGGCTTCCCTGCCACTGAAGCTGAGAGGATTTCATTCTGAATTGCACTCTCCCAAACACACGTTGTGGGGGAGAGAGGGAGGGAAAGAGAGGTAGGGAACACTAACGCTGACCTGCTACAATTGTTCACCAGAGGCATGGGTTGGCTGGGTTCCACCTTTTCCCAGGTTTTGGGAATTCTCTGGAACCCTGGAGGTGGAGGACTGAAATTTTCCTAATTTTTCCCCACCCAGACAACTGGGAAGTGGAGTCTAGAGAATCCCACGTTTCTGCCTGGACACCAAGAACTCACCATATATTTGTTCTGCTTTTGTGTCCTCCATGGCCAAGTGGGAAGAGGGTATTAGCTCTTGTTAGGTTTAGTTGGATAAAAACACCTGGACTATCCCCACCCCATCAGTTTGTTTTCCTCTGGCTGCTCTCTTTTCTTTTTTTTAACTTTCTTTTCCTATTTTGTTTTGTTTTTTGAGACAGGGTCTCATGATGTAGCCCTGCCTGGCCTAGAACTTGCTATGTAGACCAGGCTGGCCTTCAACTCACAGAGGTTCGTGGCCTCTGCCTCCTGAGTGCTGGGAATAAAGGCGTATGCCACCATGCCAGGGCTGTCTGGCTGCTTTCTTGCCTTGCCCCTCCCCAGCACATTTCAACACCTGAGGGGCATACCAGAATGCCCTGACTTCTTGGCTGCGAAATTGTGTCCTATGGTGAGTTTCTTGGCAAAAACACTCATCATGCTCCCAGGGTAAGGAAGAGGCTCATGCACCAGAGAAGGGTGTTTCTTGCAGCAGGGTCTACAAGGGAAAGGGCTCGAGCATTTCTCAGAAGCTAACAAGGAGCAAGAAATTAAGCAGTTGGCCCAGGTTGAACAGGCTTTGCTTTGGGTTCTGCATGGGCCATTTTCTTGTCCCAGTCCTGAGACTTCCTGCCTCTTAGTCCAGCTGCCCCTCCCGAAACTAGTTGTCCTCTTTCAATATGATCCAATATCCTTCTAGAGAAAAATTTTTATCCAGAGGAGGAGAACACCCTCTTTCTACATTCATATCCCAGACTTGCTGAGCTCTGGCTATGTGACTGTGGACTAGATAACTTAACTCTGGGTCTCACTGCCCACTTCACAAGAGGATTAAATGAGATAATGTATGTAAAGCACTGAGCATAATGCCTTATGCACAGTAACTGCCCAATAAGTGTTCACTGGTATTATTATTATTAATCCT